AGCTCTGATCCATGCTCTCTTGCATGGGCAGTCATCAGAGCTTGCAATCTGCCTAGTAGTTGTCTGTGTGATGCTTGCCCTGGGCATTCAAAACACTGGAGCAGTGAGTGATCCCATGTTAAGGAAACAGGCATGACTTTCAGGCTCTTTGGGCCTGAAGGTCACCAAGAGGAAATCTGAAATTGTCTCATTGTACTGGGAGGGAAGAAAGATGGCATGTGCTTGTACAATGCTGTCACCAGATGTGGCTGGCGTAGAGCCCTGTGTAATACACAGCCGTGCTATATTAGGGAATATGCTCTGTCTTGAAGTTTCTTGGCTCAACTAGGTTGAAGCTGGTGCATAGGCTCAGCATAAACATGGCAGTCTGGGAGCTCATTCAGTGTAATGGAAAGGTGACTGGTGGGTCTTGAAAGAAAGACATTTCTGTTTGTTAAAGACCTGAGTAGCAGTTTGCATTTTCACTTGCTTGCTACCAGTCTAGCTCATCTGTTTTTAAGACCCCTGGGTGCCGAGTTGTCTCTGAAATCAGTGCTGGGAATGGGGTGAGGACAGTATTAAATTTGAGCCAGAGCAGGAGGTTAATTTGCTCTCCACACTGGAATTATACAGATACGAGGTTGTGTGTGTGTTTCTATCAAGCCAATTTATTGTTTGCTTCCAAAGAGCAGATTCCCATTAATTGCTGTTAAAATATTTTGTCATATATTTACAATTACTGTGCGTTCTGATTTTTCCACCTTGGTGAAAGCTGAAAGAAGACAAAATTTTAAACTCTCTTATAAGATAGAGGCATAAAGGGGAATGGGATTTGCATGCATGTGTTTTGTACCAGGAGGGATTCAATGTGGCTGTCCTTGAAGGAAGAACCTTTTAGCAAGACAATGAAAAACTCAGCAAATTTTAGCAATAAACCGTAGTCAACTGAAGATCAAAGGCATTAAGTGAAGTGCAGAGATGAAAAAGAGTGAGAGAGACTGGTACTGCTTTTGAAATGAAGAGTGTTTTTGCAGGGAGATGGTATTTGCAGGGCACATACTTTGCTGTGATTCTGATTTGGGTAATGTGGTTAATATTGTAGGTAAGATACTTTGCTTATCTGTCTTCTCTTAGTCTTTCTTAGCATGTCTTCAGAAAGACCACAGGGTTCATCAGACATCCCATGATCCCACAGAGGTTCAGTCTCAGATTAAAAAGAGATAGGGACCCTGAGAAGACCCTTATATGTGAGGCTGTGGAAAATCTGAGGTCCTTAACAAGAATTATCTTCAGTAGTTTCTGAGAGATATTTAAAAAAAAAACCCAAAGTCAAAGATCTTTGTAATATTCTTCCATTGGTCCCTCTTCTGAGTCTGGTGGAAAACTCCTGAGAGTTCACTTCAGATTCTTTCAGTGCTATTTCAGTTCTGTAAAGGTTGAAAAGATGCTGAGGATCTTGTTTTGAGGTAGAAGCAACAAAATTATAATTTTTGTGGTGTACCTTTTCACAGTGTAAGAGTAGGCATTATTTGAGTAATTTGCATATGCGTGTGCATGTTGGGGGAATGGAACTGGCCAAATAGTTTCAGGCATCTACTTCTACTTGCTAAATATATATATATATTTGCTTCTTTAAAATTTATTGGTGAATTCTGGTTGAATTAGATGAAAAACATAGCTGGAAATAATTTGGAGAAAAAAACCAGGTATCAAAACATTTTCCATCGTACTTTGAAAACCAAAATTTTTATACTTAAAATGAAAGAACTTTTTTCTTTTAGAGATTGTTTTTCTCTTTTCAGAAAAATGAAACTTTTTTGGTCTGACACCAAATTATTAAAAAACTGTAACAGGAAAAAAAAAAGGAAGATGCAATCAAAGAGTAAAAAAAAAAATATAATTTCTTTGCACACCTGGGAAGGTCAAACAGAGAGACATTTTTGGATTTGGTTCTGAAGGCAGGCCCTGGAGTGGAGCTGGGTGAAGTGTTGTTACATTTTGACCCAGGCTGTTTTCACTCATGGAAAGTTTTCATTTTAAAAAAAAGAAGCATCAAAATGTGCATGCTCCCAAAACTGGTTTGTAGAAAATACTTCCAATAATTGGTACCTTCATGTATAAATAAAGCAATTTTCAAATCTTCCGAGAGGTAAGAACACTCCAAGAAACTCTGATTTTATGCTGTCTTTTTGTGGAAATAGGAAACATTTTGAGGGATTGGTGAATTTATTGCCTAGCAGTTTTCAGAGGCTGAAAAATAATAAATCATTTTTGGGAAGATAGTGAACAGTACTGAATAGTTGACTTCTTCAAATGGACTTTCTAGCTGATGACTCATTTTCTTGCACTGATATAGCTTTGCTATCTGAAGGTCGTACTGTTGACCTGACCTCCATTTCCCAAGTGCCTTCCTCAGTTTTGAAAAAGGCATTTGGCTTGCAAGTCATCCGAATGACATGAAGTGGCTGAACATCAGTCCTTTGAGAGGAGACGCTATACTCTAATCAACCCTAGACATCCTCCCAAGATGTCCATCAATCTGATCCTCATCAAACAACAGAAGAGCACCCTGTAGATGGAGAAAGATTTTTGCATCGGGGAACTCTCTCATGCCTGCTGTGCAATCTCCATTATGCTCCCGGGAAGGAAAGAGGGGAGGAAGAATAGAAATAGTTCTGGGTGGTTTATTATTATCCTCCTCAACTTTCCTCATGAGGAAGAGAGCTTGAGCTTTTGGAGGTGAGAGGTGGTGCTAAGGACAATGTAGGAAGGGAAAGGGCTAGAGGTGTTGGCTGGGACATTTGAAGAGGGGATGGGGGAAGTGTGGGTGCAGAGAACCTGGAGCTGGGGAGAGGGAAGGTGTCAGGAGAGGTGGAGAGAGGGATGTACCTGGCTGGGTAAGAAGTGATGAAGGTGCAAATAAATCAGATGTCAAAGCATGTCTGCTTTGGGGAGGTAAAGTGGGAAGAAAACTTTGGGATTCTCTGTTCTAGCACACCAGGTGTCAGCCTAACAGTCAGCCCTTTATATTTTAAATCCCTGGTGGTAACTGTACTGCACAGACTAAATGCTGCTGCCTGGTGCAGTCTTAGCTCCTGCAGACACTCTCATCTGCCCTCTGTGTGCAGAAACCCAGCACGCTGCTTCGAGCTTGTTCTCTTCAGTGTGCCGCTCCTCCTTTGATCCTCATCTCCCAGGCGGGGGGAACCACATCAGTCCTGCAACTCATGGGCCTTCTAGCAAAGGAACTATGGCAAGATTTATCTGCCCACGCAGGCTGAGATGGAAACACTTCTCAGGAGAAGACGGCAGGTTTGCTGTTCTGTGTTCTTCAAGGGGTACATGGTGGTAAGAGTAAACAAACACAAGATTTGAAATGATGTCTTGTTACAACTTGCTTTTTATATATATTGCCTAATTGTGCATTAAAAAAAATCAGCATCAATTGTAAAATAAGTGTTAGATTTGCAAAATTAACTTTCCTTTTGAACCTCCACAAAACAGCCCCAGCCAGCCAAACACGAAGAAAGTCACAACAATGACAACAAAATTTTAAATCCCCCAATCGAGGAACAAATCAGAAAGAAAAACACCCCCAGGAAAAGTAAACTAATAAAGTAACCTTCACAAAACCCTTGCCCTCAGCAGTGTTTTAATCCAAAAAAGGGGGCAGAAAAAGCCACGATTCCCTTAAGTCATGAGAGGCTTTGCTGTTGCCAGTGGTTTTGTGGGGAGGGCACTTGGACGCTGCACCAGCGGGCAGGAATATAAAGCCGCAAGACAGATCTACATCTGCAAACAGAGCACTTCAAATAATTTACAAATGCACCTTGGCTTTGTTTCCCATAGACTGCAAGCACTTCATAAGCCACCTTTGCAAATTTGAGCCTGCATCTGCACATTGGCTTTCTCTGTGGCGTAAATGGCCGGTCTTGTACTAACGGGCTGGAAAACTTTTTTTTTTTTTTCTTGAAATCCTCTGAGTGCAGCGCCTAGGCTAGGATTGCAGAGGAAGCTGAGGCCTCCAGCCCTGCACAGGAAGCAATCTTAGAGCAGGCCTTAAATGCCAGATTCCAGGCAGAGTTTAACTAACCACTGACAGCTCTGTAAACAAAGCAGGGACAAAAAGAGAACAGCTTTCCCTTTTCTGGTAGTCATTTTTGGTTTGGGGGCTGCAGGGGAATTCTGTAATACTCGGCTTGATGGGATATAAACCAAGGCTGGAAAGGCTTTGTATATGAAGAACTGTAAAGGGGAAAAATATTTCATGGACTAAATCATAAAGAAGAAGGTAGGGCATGGGGAAAATGCGGGGATTAAACTACAAAAAAAATATTGTTACTTTTGGTTCTTTGAGCAGGATTTATACATAGTTTGGCTCCTCCTGGGTGGTATTCAAAAACTGCAGCTTATTTTCCCTCTCTTTTCTCTTTTCCTTTTCTCTTCTTTTCTCTTCTTTTTTCCTTTTCTCCTCTTTTCTCTTTTCCTTTTCTCTTATTTTTCTTTCTTTTCTCTTTTTCTCTTCTCTTTATTCTCCTTTCTTTTCCCTTTTTTTTGAAGCAGGGGGTGGGAACAGACAGACAAGGACTAACTTTTGCAAGACTTAATTATCTGTGCAACTAAAGAAAATAAGGAATCTCTCGTGTGGCTTTTTTACTGCTTTCAGTAAAAATTGGAAGCTTCAAGTTAAAATCCTACTGAATTCTTGCTTTTGTTTGTAGAAAAGACCTGTGATGCTACAAATAGCTAGTCTGCGGCTAGCAGATGTATACAGTCCTTACTTAAAGCATGTTGATTTAATTTTAACTAGGAAACTAAATGCAGGCATTCGCTATGTTTATCCTACAAGGCATTTCATTAATCTTGTTTATCTCAACAATACTGAGGAAGTTAAATTTTTTGATGGAAAAAGAAAATAGTTACAGCGAAGTTAAGAAAGCAAAACAAAACTGAAGGGACTCAGTTGGTTAAACGCATGCATTGTGTTTTCTCTCTGATCTAAGTGGTCATCTCCCTTTTAGATTTGGATCTTTCCGGAGCTCTGAACACTTGAACACCCACCATGGATGACTTTGAACGCCGCAGAGAACTCAGGAGGCAAAAGCGTGAGGAAATGCGCCTTGAAGCAGAGAGGTGAGGTATTCTGCATGGAAAATGGTGCTGGTGGCTTGCCTTTGATTAGCAGTGGCTTTGAGGATTTCTGTCTTAAATTCCAAAGTATGCTATAGCTAACCAAAGAGTCCTTGCTTATCGATAGGTGCCATAAAATAGCTTTAGTTAATATTGTGAGACAGGCTGGAAGGCAGGGGCGTCTAGTGTCTAATTCCCTTAGGCTGTTGTAAATGCCCTGGCTTCTAGTTATTTTGTTGTATGGCTAAATGTGTAAACAGTGAAAGTGGACAATGTGGCTATGTGAAATTATTGATAGGAAGAATCATGCTCAGACGCCATGCAAGTGAGTGCTGTGCAGAAAGGATTGTGTCTGTCTTTTCAGACATGGGGTAAAATTATATCAATTGAAAGCTGAGATACACTTGGTATACGTAGTATGGCGTATCTGCGAATTGTCTGCCATGACTGTGCAATTGCTGTTGTATTTGTACTGCCTGTCACTTTTTATTCATTTACAGCCACTATATGTGAGCAACAAGGGCAGTGTTTGCTATCAATTGTTACAGATTCACTTTGGTGCAAATGAGAACAGAAATTGATGTGAGTACGATGCTGTCAATTTATGAAAGAAGAAGAATATTAGGAAAATATTGGGAATGACGTTTTGTTAACTAACCTCATTTTACACCTGTACAGTTCTGTTTGCTGTAATGGAGTTTCCCATTATTTATACTGGAGTAAGCAGGGAGAAAGTGAGGCTCCATTTATTTTTGAAACGTCTTCTCTGATATAAAGATTCGGTTTAGTTTATTAACACTGCAGTGATTTAAAAAAGATGGAACTCAGGTTTAAGCACATTTTATTCTCATTTTTGAGTTTAATTTTTGAATATGGACTTCATTTTCATTTCTGGTCTTTCCCATGTGCTGACAAAACCATGGTGTTTTGGATTCTGAATGCTGTAGGAGAAAATACATTTTCAGAGCAGTTTTAAATGGAAGTTGGCAGGATGCAATACCAAATATATTTTGGATTCCTGCTTTGAGCTTTTTAATAAGGCCCTGCTACATAAGCAGGGCTCTCTGGTGGAAGTTGATGATACCTGGGGGGGGGAAATCCCGCGTAGACGAGATGCAATAGCTGCCTTTCTTTCCAAAGGAAGTGTTGCTGTGCAGAGCTGGGTGTGTGAGCTCTCATCAGGCTATAAGCTGAACCCATGAGCTCTGGAAAGCAGCAGCATTTCCTGTAGATAAATAAACTCACATGAAGCGTGGTGGCCAAAGGGAAAAGAGGCAGCAGCCTCCCTTTGCAAAATGCAGCCGTCACCTGGTTACTGAGCTGCCCAAAAGGCAGAGGAGCAAATGTGTTGTGGCACTAAACTTGCCTTCTTGTTCCAAAAGGTTTCCCCCCTGGCCTGGAGCAACACATTTTTATTGGGCAGCGTGGGAGGGATTGCAAAGCCCGTGCTTGTGCACGGTATAGCACATCATGGTATTTATAGACTTCTAGAGCACTTCAGCTTTAAGAAAAATCTTTTTAAGGGAAGGCTGAGACTTTGGGTTTTGTTGCTAATAGAGGCCCTGGGTGGCCTGTGGAGGATGCTGGGGGGTGTGTAGCTTGGGAGGTGTTTTCTACTACTGAAAAATGCCTCTTGAACTTCCCCATGAAGGCATCCAAGCTCTTATGCAGGTGTGCGGAGGGGTGGGCTGGGCATCAGCCGTGTAGCATGGCCAGTTTGCGGAAGCAGTGAACAGCCGTAAGGGGTTCTGCCCTCGCTGCCTGGAAGATGAAATCCAGGACTTCAGGTGTACCCATAGGTTACCACGTGGTCTGCAGTTTTACACATGGGCCCAGCTCTGGTCCAGCCGCTCACTGGTGTCCCGTGAAGGAAGCCTCCCTGGGGAGCCCGGCGGGCTGATGGCGATACCTGCCCCTGCCCCTGCGTGGTGGGGAAGCCAGATGGCTGGGCCAGGGAGTGGTGGCCACTGACACGGGGACCTGCTTCCTCCCCACCCACCCATGCCTGCTTTTGGGAAAAGTGTTTTTGCCACGCCTGGGGGGGCTTTGCTGGAATTCTATGTGGTAAACTTTGTGGAGGAGGCAAGCTTGGTGGCAGCCCAGCCGGAAGAGAAAGGCTTGGGCCCGTGTCCCTGTTTTCTACCGAACCGCTGCAGAAGCACTCCGTGCCCTTTCCCACACATTTTGAAGGCTTTTAGCAATAAATTGCTGTACGTGAAGTCTCGCTGTACTCCCTCGGCTGCTGCCAACTTCTAGCATCCAAGTATCATGAGTCAGACCCCTTAAAAGTCACAAGACTGCTCTAAAAATTTTGAGATCTTAAAAATAATTTAGTCTGGCCTTTTTATTTTTGGTTTGCCTTAACAATAACAGAGCCTGATTCTCAAGTTTAGATGTGACTCTGGGAGCTGGGACCTCCTAAAACCTGCCCCAGCAGGGGCAACGACGGGGAGGAGCTGAGCGTCCGTCCCTGTTGCACTGCGCCACTCGCGTCGAGCTACGGGCAGCAGCATTTGGGCAGTTATTAACAAGTGAATATGTCAAGCTGGATTGGTTTTGGTGAATTCATTTTTTTTAGGGATTTGGGGATCATCTTCACCTTTAAAAATACAACTACAATGTGTTTGTGTGCAGGTCTTAAGCCACAGCAATCTGCTTGCCAGACCTCCCTCTGAATGCTTTCAGGGGTTTTATTAAGTGAATTGTGTGGTCCTAAAGAGCGGCATGGAGGCTGAAAAGCACTCCATCTACTCTGAGCACTGGTACCTGCATTTCCCTGAACCCTCCCATGGGTGGGCTGTAGCCTTGCTATGGGGAAACCACTGCTGGTTGTAAGCATTTCCACTGGGAGATGGACAGATGGATGATTATGTGTAGGCTGTAACGTGTTTGCTAGGTCTCCCAGACACTGTTTAGGTTTCTTTGAGTTGAACAGTAAACCCAGAAGTGCAAGCAGCCTTATCAAACAGCGGTATTTGTAGCTCAGCCAGCCGCAGTGACATATTTTGCCCTTTCCTGGGATAAAGGCATAGGGAAAGCTTGTCTTCCCAGCCTGACACCTGTGCCCAAGAGAGATCGAGGGGTGAAGATGCCTTGTAGCAGCATGGGCTCATGTACTACATGCCCGAGAGGGAGCTACTTGACCTTATTGTGTCTTCCCCAGGGGCCGGAGGCTGTGTGAGGACTGGTCAGGATACATGTGCTGTCAGATTCCCAAGTATCTGTCATGCTGGAGCCACCAAGGTCCAGCCACTTATGTCTAATCTTTGGAGATGCTTAGTGCAAGTTCAGTCCTTGAGGGGCTGATGCTAGGCTTTGTGTTTTGTTTGGTTTTCTTTTTTTTGGTCCCACTAGAAAGCTGTTGGAAATGATTGTTCAGCATGCTGTGTAGACCTGGCATTCTGGGTTAATATGCTTAGGACTGATCCTGAGGAGGGGCTGGCTTTGTCTTTTAAAGACCAGCAGTGCAGTTCACCCCTGGCCATGTGCTTTGGCTAGTAGTTCATGCTGTGGCAACTCAGATATAGATTGCCACCAACTCAGAAAGCTAGTGGTTTTTTTTGTCATTTTAAGCTCTTATCATTTCAAGGTATCCCACAAGTCCTGGATTCCTCACATGGCGTTGCTGCACCAACCCAGAAACTTTGTCCAGCCAGAATTTTTGGCTCTTTCTATTTGCCTGGGATCTCTGGAGGCCTATCAGCATGTTTGGAGTAGCAGTGCAGAGCTGTCTAAGGGACATGTGGCCAACAGCAGGCAACTGGGGCTTTGTCCAGCTTTCTCCCAGGCGGTCAGATTTATTACATGTGCTCAGGCTGGTGGGGACCCAGCAGCTCTTGTACTTCACGGGGGAACAAGGCTTTCCAGGCATAGTCTGGGGAACACAGGACCAAGTATGGCAGTGTTAAGTGTGCCCGTCTGCTAGGATTTTGCCTGTGGTGTGTACTGATCAGGTGTGAGGTCAGGGAAAATAGGACACTACCAGCCATTTGGGTGATGGGAGGTGCTATGTCTCTAACTGCTCCTTGGCAAAGCTGAGGCTTTGTCCTGCTCCTCAGAGGCGGAGGAAGTTCTGCGCCTGGGATGGTGGTTGTATAAAACCCTGAGGTCCCTGTCCAGAGCTAGCTGAAGTCAGGGGGAAGTTTTCCACTGATTTCAATGGGTTTTGGATTAAGCCCTACCTGAGTTATTCCAGCCAGATGATTTATGAGACAGTCTCAGTGGCAGCCTTGAAGGAGCTGGACGAACGCTTTGCCTTTCCAGCCACAGGGTACATACTGTGCTGGAGTATCGGGGCTGTCACAGAAATGGGTTGCACTTAACTGATGAGAAAAATCCCATACGTAATTGAAGCACAGGGGATTGACTTCTTTCAACAAGGGAAAAAACAAATGCCACCTGCTGCTTTGTGCCTCTTCCTAGGCAGTAAAAGATGTTCTCCTGAACAAAACCATCAGGTTTTGTCATTTTGATGTTGTCACTGACACTGGAAGAATTTAGCCTGGGGCTGGGTAGAGCCTGTGTTTGTGTATCTGGAGGAGTGGTGCTTTGTGAATATCTTGCTGATGCACTTTGGTCTGTCACAGCTGCATGCAGCTGCAGTGAAAAATTGAGGCAAAATACTTCTTGAAGTGACAATAGACCTACTTCCTTGACTTCAGCATAACTGAGAGCAAAAATTGGCCCCTTGAACTTACTAAAGAACAGCTCTCAGGTTAATCCGTTCAGCACTTAAGCCACAATTTTACAACTGGCTGACTTGCCATTGCCCCAGCAATGTATTTTCACCTCTCCTTGGTGTTGGGGCTGTTTTAAAAATTATACTAGGAAGCTGATCCAATTTGCTGTATTGCCATACCATCACTACTGCAGACTTCAGGAAGGTCTTAGGGTCACTGTCAGACTGGTCTCCATTTAGCCGAAGCTTAACTTTGAATCAGAATCACAGCTTTCCCTGCATGATGCCCTTCCCTAAGGGACTGCAGGTCATTTCATGGGCAAGG